GGGCCGGGGTGGGGCCTCCCGAGGCGGGCAGGCAGGTGCCGGAGCGCGGGGCCCGGCTCCGCGGCCACCGGGTCAGGGGCACAGAGCTGGGGAAGGGGGCTGCGGCCTGGGACACCCCGGGCCACCGTGGAGAGGAACTGGGGTCGGACTCTGCTGGAAGGCGGAGGGCCGGTTGGTCGGGACCCCCTGGATGGACCTGCCCAGAGCCTGCCACCAGGGTACGTCCGCTCCATCCTTGAAATTCCTCAGTGACTTTTCCGTGCTCAGTGGAGTTTTTTGTTTGTTTTTTTCTTACTGCTTGCCTCTGAGAGTGCTATTTGGGGCCAACCCTCGATTCCCACACCCCTCAGTACAGTGGGGAGCAACTGAGCCTCCCCCGGCCTGGGTCAGTCTTGACTGTCCCCTTTGATTGATTGTCCCCCTCTGTCGCTTTCCCCCTTCCACCCTCTCACCGTCGTCCCTTCTCCCTACGACCTTATCCTTCAAATAGAGTTTCCTTTTGGAATGTTACTGCCCTGAAGTTCATTCATTCATTCAGAAAATAGATTTTGAGCAATGGCAGCAAGAAGGAGAACTGTGTCAGGCAGCGTTCTAATAAGCACTTGGGTTGTGTATCAGTGAAGAAAACAAACATCTCTGCACTTAATTGAGGGGGGAGGAGCAACCGTAAACAATAAGTATATAAGTAAATGATAGAGTATAGTAGAAGGTCGTTTAAGTATTGTGGAAACAGAAAAGGCATCTTTACCCCTATTTGAGTATATAAGGGATTTGAGGGAACAGTGGTCCAGGCAGCCTGAAGGCAGACCACAAGTGTGTCTGGGATGTTGGAGGCATCCAGGAGGCCAGCGTGGAGGAAGGAAGCTCAGTGGGTGAGGAGGAGGTCAGCCCTTGTCCCCTCGGCGCTGAGCTCCTGACCCAGATGCCTAATTAGATGGGTCTCATCTTGGATTTGTGATGCATTTTCTGCTTCTGTCTCCAGCGCGTTAACCACTAATATGCAAAAGCACCCCCAAGTTTCTTACCTCTGGTTACCCTCCCATTTTAGCAAAGGCTTTGGTCAAACACTGCTTCTCTAAGACCCTCTTGGGACCTGCACCCTTTGCATATATATATCTTTAAATTTGTCTCTTGTGGAGAGCACCCTTAATAGGGGTCTTATTTTTAGGTCTTATATTTTAAAATATAAACCACTTCCTCTGCTAGTTAACATTTGGTGAGGCGTTTGGGTCACTTTACATTTTCTACAGGCTCCCAGCCTTCCCCCACCCCACCCCCAGCATTGTGTCTTTTGTTATGTAATGTGTTCCATTTCACTTTGTGCCTTTATTTTTTTGATTGAGCCCTTGGTTGAAGTGCAAACTGATCTTTAACCTTTCCTCTTTAGTGAGATTAAACCACAAGTAGAAAGTCTCCTGAAATGTGGCCAGAGTTCAGGAATGTTCAAAATCGTCATCTGCCACTTGTGCGTGTTGTAGTTGGATGAGTTTTCTCACTTTGCCCACAGTGCCTGATAAATTTCCTTTGAGGGGTAGTTAGGGAAAGGGAGTGGTTCAGTCCCAGAATAAGCCTCAAGTGGTCACATTTCTTCAGATCCTAATAGTTGGCAGTTTCGTTTGCTTGCATGAAAATATGCTGTGTTGACGCCATCCTTCTCTGCTGTAAACGATCTCTAAAAATATTTTGTAAAAGTGCAAGGATCTGATCCAAACAGTGGATATTTTTGCAAAGGTAAGAATAGAAGAGGGTAAGGAAGCAAATTCTTTTTAAAGGTATCATTTCCCCAGCAAGCAGGTTGTGTCTTCTCTTAGTTTGGGATATGCTTGTGGACTCAGCGTGAGAGTGTTGGATCTCACGACCTTTTGGGGCCTCAGTAGGATAAGACTTCCACAAATCAGGATTCATGAGAAGACTGTCATTCTCCTGTCTCTGCTTGCCTTCCCCTCAGCTTGCCTTCATCTCTTCTGCATGGAGAGCATGTCCTGCTAGTACACGCATCTTTTTTTTTTTTTTTTTAAATTTATTATTTTTGTGTGCGTGTACCGTCAAATCAGATCTGACTGGTACAGGAGGAGATTGCCCCTCCTTCCCCGGCAGAGCATCTGGTGGATTTGAACCGTGCACCTCTGGGGTTGTAGTTGCAGCTTCTTGCCACTAGGCCACCAGAGCTCGCCTAGTACACACATCTTTGCATGCATCTTTCTTTGGTTAGCGAGGAAATTGCATGGCTTCTCTGGTGCACTTTGCTGGTAATCTTGGAGCTGCCAAAATATTCCTATTCCTGTAGGATGCAATGATACCTGCCCTTGGTGATGAACTTGGAAATGGGCTCTTCAGTGTCAGGAGGCTCAGCAATATATGCCTTCAGTAGGCCCAAGAGTCTTATCAAGAGGTAGTACTTTGTGTTAAACACAAAAGTGCTAAATGGAGAAAGTATTTAAAGATGATGCTTTCAAGCCTGGTGGGCTTTCTCTATTCCCTTGTGATCAGGAAAGGTGGGCATGGAGTTTGTTGAGGTGGTAGTCTGTGGGCACCCTCATGTCAGCTCTGACTCATAGCACCCTGGGTATAACAAGAACAGAACTGCCCGTTCCTGCGCCACCCTGTGCTGAAACCCATTATTGAAAGCACTTTGTCTTTCCTTCTGGCTGAGGGTCTGCCTCTTCAGTATCCATTAGTGCCAACTTTTGGAAGTGAACCTTTGACAGAGTAACTCTTCTATTACTGAGTCCCCTAAATCATGGAAGGTGAATGTTAAAATCCTGAACCATTATTTAGACTTTTGGGGCAAATTTTGGAAAAACAGTGCTGAAACAATTACAAATCAGTAAAGTAGATGAGAGTGGGAAGCAGATGGCTCAGGGATCTGAGAAAAGGAAGGAGACATCTAGAACTATTCTGGTGATACCTGATGGCCAGCGCCTGAAAATAGCCTCACTCCTCCCCCTGTGAGCACCGGGCATGGGGTACAGGAGGCGTGACTGCCCTGTGCTGCAAACTGCTGGGTGCTGAGGTCTCTTGGGGGGGCATCTGGTTATGGTCTGGGTGCCGAATCTTTCTTTCTTGCCAAGTAAAACAGCTGTTTGGATCCTTATAATTTCAGAAGCTGTAAGTGCTCGTTGTACAAAAATAGAAATACACAGATAGGCCAAAAATTAAAAACTGATAAGGAAGGATTTAATTTATTTAGTAACTTGGAAGGTATTGTGTTTTATATATATATATATATATATATATATATATATATATATACACATGCTTTTTTTTTTTGCCTACATGGGATTAATATTGCAGATCATGTTATTTTATATTGTTATTTTCCCTAAGAATATAAGTGGCAGACATCCTTCCACGTCAATTGTGAGCCTGCAGCATTATTTTAAATGCGGCCTTTGGTCTTCTACAGAGGGGACTGGTGCCATGATCCATAGGGAGTTGCAATGCTAACCTAAAGCCAAGCCTTCCTGGCAGTTCAAATCCTCCAGTGGATCTGAGGGAGAAAGAGGGACAGTTTCCTCCTGTGTGGTTTAGAGCTTCGGAAACCCAAGGTAGGGTCAGCTACCTATGAGTTGGGTCCGGCTCCATGCCAGTGAGTGACTGACTGACTTGGTCTGCTACAGTAAACGTGATGACGAGAAGTCAGGTAACACAGAGCTAGAGAAGTGTGGGTTTTATTCCCGATGATTCTTTACGTAGATGTTGTCTCTGGTACTGAGTGACAATTTTGATTCTTCAAATGTATCCATTTTTGGCCCTATTTAAGTGTGAATTTTAAGAATTGCTCTGCTAAATTGTAGAGCTTAGAAATGACTGTTCTCTGAACTTGTGAATAGAGAATTTAGTAGGTGGTCTTGGGGCACGCTGGTGACCTAGTGGTGGCTGGAAGCAGCACTTCAATCCCAAAGGTACAGGGTTTGCTCCTGGGAGAAGGATGGGTAGTCTCCTCTCGATTAATTGCCTTGTGTGAAAAACCCACCAGAGGGCCAACCATGGGTTGGTACCCACTCTGTGGTACACAACAACAACAACAACAACAACAGGTGGTCTTGAGAAAGGGTTCTGACTTAGTACAAGTATATTCCATAATTTATACGTGTTTTTATTGGCTGAGTTGCAGAAGTGGACCATTCATCCTGCGTCTTAGTCTGTCTTAATCTGGAAATTCTGGTGAAAACTGCCCACCGTGGGTGAACCTGCTGGTATTCAAAATCCCAGGGGCAGAGCTTCCAGCATCACAAGACCCAAGACCTACCTCAGTCCTAGCAACATGAGGAGTAATAAAGATAAAGCAGACTCCGAAACAAAGCAAAATGAACTCTTTTCTTTCCTTTTTTCTTTTTAAATAAAAGCACCTAGAACCTATAGCTTTGTTTTCGCCTTGTACTTAAGAGACCATTAATGAAAAAAAAAAAAAAAAGAGAGACCATTAATGATGACTTAACAAGCCATGAAAGGACATAAAAAAGTTGTTCCTAAAATACTCACTTTCTTAGCTGTGGCTTTGGCTTGCCGATCTGTCCCAAACTTCCGCTTTTCTCTCCTGGGGGTGCTTCCTGTGGCATCTCCCTGGGTCACGTCCAGCATCACACAGCTTCTGCAGCTGGAACCTCAGCACATGAGGCTGTCGTGGACTGCTTCCTCAGCCTGACCAAACATTGCCACGAGGTTGGAGCCAGCTGCTCTCCTGCATCCTTCTGCTGTCTGTGATGCTAACACCAGGGCTGTCATCAGGCGCTTAGGCCGCGGGAACCCACTTAGAAGTTTAAAGTTCTAGATTCGTCTCTGAACACCTGCAGCAGGTGTTCTTAGAATATATAATAATGTTAAGCCATCTTGTATAATCTT